TGCCCCCACCATGCAATTTTCACCCATGCATACGCCTATACGACAGGGGCGGAGCAACACTATGCAATAGCGATCGCACAGTAGAAAGAAGAGTGGCGCAGGTGTATCATTTGCTCTGTGTACACAATGATTATTGTGTACACAGGTGGAGGTGCATTTTTCACCCACTCTTACCCTTCCCCCCTTCCGGCACCCTCAGATGACTGTCTATGCAGCCTTACGCTAGCACTGATTAGCGTGTACCCCCATCATATGTACATGGAAAGCATGTAGTGACCCCCCATAACATACAGACAAGCAGCATGTAGTGACCCCTTATCACATACAGACAAGCAGCATGTAGTGACCCCCATCACATACAGACAAGCAGCATGTAGTGACCCCCCATCACATACAGACATGCAGCATGTAGTGACCCCCCCATCACATACAGACATGCAGCATGTAGTGACCCCCATCACATACAGACAAGCAGCATAGTGACCCCTCTCTCTGGCCGTTTAGTGTTCCCTAATACACACATGCGCACTCCGGCACACGCATACACACGGCATGGAGGGGGAAGGCTATCCACCCAGCTCTTCTCTCCGTGTGACCCGCTCTGCGATCACCCAGCCCCCTGCTCTAAGTGCTGAGATGGAGGGCCAGTGGTAGGAGTTTTGCAGCGCAGGACCTGCTCAAGGGGCAGCTGCTTTGGGCCCCACAACAATGACTGGGCCCTGGGCAACTGCCCCTTTTGCCCTGCGTTAAGGACGGCCCTGGTAAAAGGTGTTTCCCATCACGCCACTTTTAAAGTGGTGAAAGACCGGATGTAAAGTTATCTTACAAAACAGCCGAGTAGGCAAGATGGCAACCTTAACACAATGACTGGGAAGCACAACAACAGAATTACCATTGAGTTCTTGAACGTAGCAGTAGACATCATACATGTCATCAGGGTCCGAGACTCCATAGTTCCTCACTCCAGGAAATCCATCCATATCGCCATAGCAACCCTCCCGTGGTGTCTGGATTGGGTACCTGCATGGGAAAGGGACCAAGAAGGGTAGACGGTGGATATCTGTCACTGTGGGACTCACCAGACTCGAGGATCCTTGACGTTGGTGGAGATGACTTCATATCATATCTTGGACAAAATACAAATTAATTTCTCACGATTTTGGGTGTTTAAGTTTTTTTGGGGGGCAAGTGAAAAGATGTGTTCAAAATGCCCCCCCCCC